TTATTTATTTTTGGGACAGAGAGAGACAGAGCATGAACGGGGGAGGGGCAGAGAGAGAGGGAGACACAGAATCGGAAACAGGCTCCAGGCTCTGAGCCATCAGCCCAGAGCCTGACGCGGGGCTCGAACTCACGGACCGCGAGATCGTGACCTGGCTGAAGTCGGACGCTTAACCGACTGCGCCACCGAGGCGCCCCAGATCTTTACTTAAGTTCTAAACAAGCTTTAATGTTCTTAGTGGTGGTGGATTTCATAACATTGTAATACAGCAGGGCTAGGGTTTGGGATGGCGTTTGTCCTGCTACTGCTCCACCCTTCCCAGTTTCATAAGATATATGATTCTGGTATTAGTCAGTGTACCGTTGCAGCAGGGAAGCTTATCTTATGTTCTGAGTATAATGTCTGATAACAGGCAAAGTTCAAGATACAGAAGGATGACAGGATCTTTCGTCTCTTCAGCTTTTGTTATTGTTGTCTGTGGATCAAGCTGAATATGAAATCCCAAAGTCATGGTGAGGTCCTGAAGTTCACATTCTGTTTGCTTTGGTCACCAGGAGTAGTCATATTTTAGTGACCAGGAGTAGAAAAAGGATGTTTGGCAATCAGACGTGGGATTTGGAAGGTGCTGATAAGATTATTGGCTGGAGCATGAGCTGAAGAAATGCATAATGGACCATCCCACATTGCTTATTATTCCAGCTGACCAAAAATTAGCTTTCTCAGTGGAGAATCCCAAGTCCAGCCTGTTCACATCTAGCTACAATTTAAACAAAATACCATTTCATTCCCCTGGGAAATACAATTACCAGCTGTTCTGAACTTAGGTGTTTTCTCTCCTTTCTGGGGAAGAAAGATATGACACACGTTTTTTTCCTTGGTAACCTTTTTTTAAGGGGTCTCCTAATGAAACACCAATACAGTGGGGGAGAGTGGTAATTCTTCAGCTAGCTTTATTCTATGGAGGTAGATAAGGCTCCTCAAAATAAAGAGCTTGGCATGGAATAGCCTTCTTAGTCTGCTGATTCATCCTTGTCCTTTCTTCCTGAGCAGTTTTTCACACACTGTGAGTAGCACAGTGTGAGCTTTGAAGCAGGTTTGAATTAAACCTTCATCACTTACCATCACCACTTTGTGCCAGTGGGCAGTTCATATAATCTCCTGTGCTTGTTTGCTTATCTATAATACACCAGAAAGAGTTACCTCTTACTATTGGTGTGAGAATTGGATGGAGTAATTTTTGTTAATCGCCTGACACCAGGCACTCCAGAAGAATTAGCCCCTTTGTTCTTTCTTGCCCGCCCCACCCCCCCACCACACCCCTGTTCTTCCCCATAAATTGACAAAAGTTTTGAATTAAAGATTGGTGATTTTCATTCAGTTACTATAAAATTTACCAGGGCTTTTCACAACTTGGAAAGCTCAAGCTTGGGTATTTTTTAAATAATAGAACCGTTTCTGCTTATGAACCTGTATAGCTAGATGTGGTAAAAGCTTTGTGCACAGTCTGAGTGCCAGTAGTTAGTAATCATGGGCCGTTCAGAACTGTCACTTTATACCTGCAGACAAAAGGGTTTAAAAAACACTGATTTCACCCCGAATAAATTTTTAGAAACAAACTTATTTCTTTGTTCCTCTGAACAAATATATAGCTTCACGTTGCCTCAGATATAATGTTGTTAGTTTATACAGAAGCAGTATCGCTTATTATCACGCAGTGTGCCGAACATGTTCAATGCATCCTCTTAGTCCTCTTAGTGTAACTAACCTAATAATGATGTTGTAAGGTTGACAATGTTTTCCTCATTTTATAGATGAAGAAAATGAGGCAAGGAGAGATTTATGTGGCTTATCCGGGAACACCTAGCCAGCAAGTGATTACATCAGTCAAGACAGGCCAGATGCAGCTGCAGTAACCTAACACTCCAAAATCAGAATGGCACAACACAACACAACAACAGTGGTTTGTGCCTCTCTCTCACTGTCTTTGGGAGATTAGCACGATGACTTGTGCTCGCTGCAGTTGCTTAGGGGCCCGGGCTGATGGAGGCACTGTGTAGATAGGTCATTCTCCTTTCATCAAGGAAAGCATAAAGGGAGGTGGTGCATTGTATGTGCTTTTCGAGCTACTGCCCAGAGGTGACACATGTTTTTCGTGCTCGCGTTTCCTTAACCAGAGCAAGTCATAATGGCCATACCTAACATCAAAGGGCGTTTGGAAAATGTAGTCTGACTGTGTAGCAAGAAGGAGGGTCAGTCTATTTGTGAACAGATATATTGACGATCACACAGATGGAGTATGGGTCTAATCCAGATCTGTCTCCAAAAATCATTCTCTTAATTACCTCAGAGAATTGGTAGAGTCTTATCTTCAGGAGATAAAAGTTGAAGGCCCTTAACAATAGGAATATTAGCATTCTGTCCATTAAGAATCTAATGAATGTCTTAAATAGCAATAGAACCTTCCTTCAGTTGTCTCCATCTGTATAATGTCCTAGGTATGTTTTCTAGGGATGATGTTTCAGAATCCAGTCAGTCCACTATGTTTACTCAGGAAGGAAATATATAGTCATTTCCACATTCCCTCTCTTATTTGAAGAAATGAAGACATTAAAGGAAATTATGGCAACATACAGATGGGGCTTTCCAAGATAATGTCCTGCAGAACTTTTCCACGATGTTTATCTCTTACCTATTGGGGTATGTCACTTTGATTGCATGTAACAGAGCCTTTATTGTGGGGATTGAACCATGTATATAGAGGCTTCTTTTTCTCCTGTAAATAAGTAATGTGAGGTGAGCAGTCCAGGGCTGGGGATTTCTTCTTTCTTTCTGCCCATCATCATATGTATTTGACTTTAATCTTTGTCTTTATTGCATTGTAGTCACATGATGGTTATCCCACCTCTAACAGTCCTGTTCCAGGCAAGAAGAAAGCACAAAAGCCCCTGCCTGCTGAGTCTGTCCCATTTTAAAGAGTGTTTCTGGAAGTCCCACCCAAGGACCTCAACTTACCTTTCCTTATATGGACTGTGTCATTAGCCAGTTAGTATTACTAGCTGGATACCTTGGCACCTTGAATGACATTTGGAATGATAAGGAAGAAAAGATTGAGTGTGGAGAAGCAACCACCAGTGACTGCCACGTGTCTGAGTTCATTGTAAAATTAAAACCTTTAAGCTCTTTGCTGCCACTTACCTTGTATGTGAAAGGGAATAGATTTTCACATAGACATTGTGACATTTTTGCAACTAAATCTATCAGTCTTTTTTCTTTGTTCCTTTTATTTCTAAAAAACAAACAAACAAACAAACAAACAAACAAACAAACAGTTTCCTTAATCACGTTTGCTATTGTTATTTGGAAGATTTAAATCAGGGGTCTCAGGCCCCAGGAAAGCATCTGACTCAGAATGTTTTAAATGCAGGACATAGGGGGGTTTTTTTGTTGTTGTTGTTGTGTGTGTGTTTTTTTTTTTTAATTATTTTTATTTTTGACCTTGAAAAACTTTAGGTAGGGCATTTGCTCTAGTTGTTTTTTAACTTCTACCATATTTGTTATCGTGTGGGTCCACCCGGCTTAAATGTTTATGTTATATGGCTGGTTCTGTAGGTATTTGAATGTAGACAAGTACAGATACAGTCAGAAAAACCCCAGGTTTGGGTATCTAACTTGTGTGTAGTCCTTGGACCATTGTGAGAGAATTCGTAAACCTGTGAACCTTCATCTGATTGTTACAGGTAACAGGAAGCTTGCATCAGTCTGTGATTGAAACCAAATTAACTAATTTGTGTCTAAAGGTCTCTTTTACTCTATTTGTTACAGATTTAAATGTTATAATGGCAACAGTTTCTTGAGGTGTTTGAATGTATTAATGTATAAATGTAGATTTGGACTTTAGTATCTGTATGGGAAATTAACTATTTGTGTCTTTTTACTGGAACTCCTTAGCAGTATGTAAGGTATGAGTTAAAAGAAATTGTATATTTGGATGTCATATATTTATATTTAGTAGAGTGCCTGTTACTTTTCATGGTAAAAAGCCAATAATAATAAAAATAAACATAATAATCCCTGTTTCTGAAGAAAAAGCTAAATAGAATATGATGATTTGTTACAGACCCTATCTTTTTTTATCTTCACAGACTTTGCTTCGCCCTCTTCAAGCTTTGTGCTCTTTCCAGCTGCAGCATGGTGCTCAAATTCGCCTCAGCAAGGAACACCTTCTGAAAAATGGATTATATCCTAAGCCAATGCCAAAGAACAAACGCAAGCTCAGGAAAATGGAACTGTTAATGAACAGTGTTAAAATTTAGTACTGTTGTTCGTGGTGCTAGTTATGGTGTCTTCCGCTGATAAAACCAGGTGAAGTTTTCAGAAAATTTAAGTCTGTGGGTTTTTGGTTGTCTAGAGTGAGAGTTGCATGCTAAACTTGCCCAGCAGAAGAAGGAAGTCAACCAAATAGCCATAAAAAAGCAAACAAAAAAAAATTTCGCTGACCCAGTAAAAACCAAGGTTTCATACTGAGTTTGTTTAAAAACAAAAAAATGTGCCTCTAATACATTTTTCCAGATCCATAGTTTGGAATGTGTTTGAAATTAGTTGTTGAGCGAGGTTAGAAGGTTTTTTTGTTTTTTTGTTTTTTGTTTTTTTATGTAAAATGGAAAGAAATTATTGTACCTGATTGGGACAGTATTGTTTTCATGAATGTTAATAGATAATTAGGTGTATATAATAGAGGATACTTATGTCAATATGCAATATTGTACATAAACTTTATAGTTTGAAGTAATAATGATCACCAAGTAGTTTAGATTGAATTTATTTTTTTCATAGAATAATATAGCAGAATAAGGGAACTAAATAAATTACTTAGGTACTAAACTTGAACTCAGCTATTATGATTTAAGTGTTACTATTAATTGCCCCAGTTTTGTTGTATTAGGGTATACTTGGAATGTAAGATTATATTAGTTTCAGGTATTCACCATAATGATTTGATATTTATATACATTGCAAAAATAATCACTGTATGATAAGTCTACCTAACATCCCTCATACGTACTTAAAACATTTTTTTCTTCTGATAAGAACTTTTAAGATAAACTTTCTTAGCAACTTTTTAATATATGGTATTTGTAATTTTGCAGAATTATTAACTACAGTCACCATGCTTTATAGTACATCCCCATGAGGTATTTATTTTATAACTGGAAGTTTGTGACTTTTGACCCCATTCACCCATTTTGCCCACCCCACAGCCACCAGCCTGTTCTCTGTATCTGTGAGCTTGTGGGTTTTTTTTTTTTTCCTTTCCTTTTCTTTTTTTTAAGATTCCACATGAGTGATATCAAATGATAATTACCTTTCTCTGTGTGACTTATTTCACTTACCATTATGCCCTCTAGGTCCATCCCTGTTGTTGCAAATAGCAAGATGTCATTCTTTTTTTTTTTTTTTTTTTTTTTTTTTTTTTTTTTAATTTTTTTTTTTCAACGTTTATTTATTTTTGGGACAGAGAGAGACAGAGCATGAACGGGGGAGGAGCAGAGAGAGAGGGAGACACAGAATCGGAAACAGGCTCCAGGCTCCGAGCCATCAGCCCAGAGCCTGACGCGGGGCTCGAACTCACGGACCGTGAGATCGTGACCTGGCTGAAGTCGGACGCTTAACCGACTGCGCCACCCAGGCGCCCCAAGATGTCATTCTTTTTTATGGCTGAATGATATTCCACTGTCTCTATACACACCACATTTTCTTTATTCATCCGTCGATGTCTATTTAGGTTATTTCCATGTCTTAGCTATTGTAGATAATGCTGCAGTTAACACAGGTGCATCTTTTGAAGTTAGTCTTTTTGTTTTCTTTGGATAAATATTCAGAAATGGAATTACTGGATCTTATGGTATTCTATTTTTTACTTTTTGAGGAACCTCTATACCTTTTTTCATGGTGGCTGCACCAATTTACATTCCCACCAACAGTGCATGATAGTTCCCTTTTCTCCATATCTGTGTCCCTTTTTATTTCTTGTCTTTTTCATTATAGCCATTCAAACAGGTGTGAAGAGGCAGTTCTTTGGGGTTTTGATTTGCATTTCCTAATGATGAATAATATTGAGCATCTTCTCATATGCCTGATGGCCCATCTGTATGTCTTCTTTAGAAAAGAGTCTGTTCACTTCCTCTGCCCATTTTTTTGCCCCCTTTTTATTCAAATTGTGTGTGTGTGTGTGTGTGTGTGTGTGTGTGTGTGTTTGTTTGCTGTTGAGTTGTAGGAGTCCTTTATTTTTGTTATTAACTTCTTATCAATATCTGACATACAAATATTTTCTCACATCCTGGGGGTTGCCTTTTCACTTTATTGATGCTTTTCTTTGTTGTGCAGAAACTTTTTAGTTTGATGTGGCCTCACTTGTTTAGTTTTGTTTTTTTGTATTTGCCTTTGGTGCCTGATTTAAAAAATCATTGCCAAGGCTGATGTCAAGGAGCTTACCACCTTTGTTTTCTTTCTAGTTTTATGGATTTCACATTTTACACTCATCTTTAATCCATGTTGAATTAATTTTGTGAGTGGCATAAGATAGCAGTCCAGTTTCATTCTTTTGCGTGTGGCTCTTCAGTTTTCCCAACGTCATTTATTGAAGAGACTGTCCTTTTCCCGTTAAATGTTCTTGCCTCCTTTGTTATAGATTAATTGAGCATACATGTGTGGGTTTATTTCTGGACTCTATTCTGTTTGATGGATCTCTGTGTCTTTTTTTATGCCAATACCATACTATTTTGATAACTATAGCTTTGTAGTACAGTTTGAAATCAGGGAGTATGATGCTTCCCCCTTTGTTTTTCTTTCTCAGGATTGCTTTGGCTTTTGGGGTCTTTTGTGGCTCCTTACGAATTTCAGGATTGTTTGTTCTATATCTTTGAAAAATGCCTGTGGAATTTTGATATGGATTGCAATGAATCTGTAGATTGCTTTGTGTAGTAGCCCTAATTTTGAAAAAGCTGCATGGAATTTTGGCACAGCACATATTTTTATTTTATTCATCAAAAAGGCTTATTGAGTGTCATAAACTAGTCATATGGAAACAACTGAAATAGAATATAACTATAATTTCAGCAACATATTTTTCTAACTGGGGCTATTTAAATATTTTTTCATGAACAAAAACTTTCAATTTCAGAGAGCAAATTTTCCCCACCCTTTTGGGAAAAATATTTACTGACATTTTATATACTAGTAGAGACATGTATGTAATATATATTTGTATCTAACTTAAATCTACTGCAATCGTATACCCATATTGGCAAGGAGAGGGGACTTTGTTTTCTTTATTTATGACTTCTAGAGTTTTTTGTATCCAGTATCAAGTTGTAAGGAAAAACTAAATGTGCGACCTGAAAGTAATCTTGTTATAAATACATGTGCATGTGTGATATATGAGTGGTTATTTCTGACCATTTTCATTCTTATTTATTTATTTTTATTGTTGGCCTAGATTAAGCCCTTCTTAAAAGCTTTAATGCTAGTCAGAATGATAGTAAATGTTTGGGGAAACTATGTAGAAAATATTTTAAAATATTAAACAAAAGTTAGATTTCTATCCTGTATTATTGACTTTTTAAAAAATTAAAACACAGTTTGGCTCATTTAAAAAAATATTTATTTTGAGAGAGTGGGGTGGGGCAGAGGGAAGTGGAGAAAGAGAATCCTCAGCAGGCTCCATCCACGATAAGCTCGATGTGGAACTTGATCTCATGACTTAGATCATGACCTAAGCCAAAATGAAGACTTGGTTGCTTAACCAACTGAGCTACCCACTACTATCAAGTGACTATCTAGGTATAATAGAAAAGAAATAGTAATAATAATGTATAATGGTCTCCTAACAAATGGGTTAAAATAGTCTTACAGTAATTGTTTTCAGATTAAAATTAAATTTTGCAAATTTCTTTTATCCACTATTATTGCCTTTTTAAAAAAGATATTCCTGTATATGACCCATATAAGTCTTTAAATTGTATTTTAATTTATATTGATTTTTAGAATAATTACTACCTTTATCTTTTAACTACAGAATTAGGGTAATTTTTGAACACTTACAAAAGCTTAAAATTTAGTATTTTTGGAAATGCATAAGCATTTTTAAAATAAGTTTATATAGTTTTCCAACTTATTTTACTGACTTCTTAAATTACTTAATTTTTTATTTCTTACTGATCTCCTGACAAGATTATTTCATTTACTCCTCTCTGGTATTCAATACTTCTTTAGTCACTTGCTCTCATCAGGCAGTTTTAGATAAAATTTAAAACCATTGGAGTGCCCCGGTAGCTCCGTCGGTTGAGTGTCCAACTTCAGCTCAGGTCACGATCTCACAGTTGGTGAGTTCGAGCCCCATATCAGTCTCATTGCTGTCAGCTTGCACTCTCTTTCTCTCTCAAAAATAAATAAAACATTAAAAAAACAACTATCACTAGTAGGGTTAGTTATTAAAAATACTTATAATGTGTAGTGTTATGTGAAGATTTTAACTGAAAATTTGACCTGGCTTTTAAAAGTTGTTACTTTTTTGGGGGCACTTGGGTGGCTCAGTCAGTTGAGTGTGGACTCCTCATTTTGGCTCAGGTCATGATCTCATGGTTGGTGAGATTGAGTCCCACGCAGGGCTCTGCACTGCAGTGCAGACTCCACTTTGGATTCTCTCTCTCCCTCTCTCTCTGCCTGTTCCTCAGCTCGTGCATATGTGCTCTCAAAATAAGCATTTAAAAAATAAAAAAAATATATAAAAGTTACTTTTTTATTGTGTTAGTTGGCTTTTAAGTTCAGATGCTTTTTATTTGTTTGATTTGCCTGGACTAGTTCCATTTTTTTGTGGATTTATAGCTGATAGTAGTCTTTACATACAAACTTGAACTACACTTTGTTGTTGGGTGGATTGTTTTGTGAATTGTTACTTGAACCACGTAATTTAGAAAGTAGTATTTCTTTATACACAAGGTGATTGATTATGCATTTAGCACAGTAAGTTGTTGAAAATCACCATATAATGAGTGGTGTTATTTTCATTTTCTTGCACTTGAGTATGAAGGGTTGAGAGCTATACTGAATGAAGCAAGTCACAGTACTTGGCAGATTTCCCTAGGTTAGCTTGCAAGATTTCTCAGGTGAAAACATGAGAGTTATATTAAAAATTATGTTCTGGGGTGTCTGGGTGGCTCAGTCAGTTAGTGTCAATCTGTTAGTGTTAGTGTTAGTCTGATGTCAGTCGGGGCGTCCCGCTTCGGCTCAGGTCATGATCTCAAGGTTTGTGGGT